AGACAGACAGACAGAGAGAGAGGGAGAGAAAGAGAGAGAGAGAGAGAGAGAGAGAGAGAGAGAGAGAGATGGAGAGTGAGAGATAGATAGAGCGAGCGAGAGAGTAGGAGAGTGAGTAAAAGAGGGAATCGATCAGGAAGAAATAAAGAGAGTGTGAGAGAAAAGGGGTACAGAAAGGGGGAAGATAAAAAAAATGAGAGAGAGAGAGCTTGAACCGGCTGACAGGGGACGCCCACGTGCGAGAACCCTTGTCATCAGTAGGGTGCAATAAGAGCAGGTTTAAGTACGCTGCTGAGCCGCCCTGTCGGTGACCATGAACGCAATAATGCGCTTATTCTGCCTTACCTCTCCTCCCCACCGACAAACACTCCGAATAATAGGCACGCGTCGACGCATGTTCATCAGTCCTTTTAAAACGCATATTTTATTTACTGGCGCTATCGATCTTGCATATGAGCTCGACTCAATCACTCACCGCACGCGAAGCTCTAATACGCGTCAAACCATCACAACATTAGCACAGCCTAGCGGACCACATTGCGAGCTTTCAATATATTTTGGAAATATAAGATTAAACATCTGGATTAGGAAAGAAGCAAGAAAGCGATATTTGACGCCCGGGCGGACGTCTCCGCGCTAAGATACGCTGATTGATGCGCTCATGACTTTGTAGAGGGTTCGGACTGCCGACGCCCTCGTGTCGGTTTAACGTTTTGTTTTCTTAATTTAGCGCGTCGTTCGTCGGCTATCTTTGGTGAGTGACAGACAGACGATCACCTAACACCGTTATAGCCTTGTTTTCATGCTTGCTACTCGACGCCATACCGCGTCAGGACCGTAGATAACCAATTTTGTCTGGGGGACAAAGCTACGTGTGTGGTGTGCTTTAGTTCAGGTTACCGCCACTGACCATTTATATCTAATTTTTCGTGGGGGGTAAGTGCCCATCTTGCTCCCCGCTAGCTACGGCCCTGTGCGTGTGCCAATCGATGGCGGCTGATAGTCAAGCAAGATCGAAATCTTAGATGATCCACGACGTCGTCCACGTAGCGCACAGTGAATTTACTTGTGCTTTTGCTAGTGAAGATCACGCGCGTGATTCGGAGCGGAAAGCACGTCATGAATTTTTCGCTGCAGGAACTCCCGTCAACAACTCTCCCTTACTATTATATAATTTTTCTATATTTTACACAGATAATAACACATATGGACGTAGGGATACAGTAACGCGCACACCTTCTCACTAGAAGTGCATCAGCGCACACGCACAAACACCGTACTGCAAATTTCGACTATAAAAAGACGTAAACGCAATCGCGTTCTCTCCCTGTGTGTATTATTCCGGACTCTAATTAATCTTTCACTCCTGCCTGGTCTCCCCATTCTCCTGCTGAACACCTGTCTTATTCCTGGCCTCTCATCCGCTCTCTTACTCTCGCACTTTCTCTCACAACACGCACGCACACATGCACGCACGCACGTACGCACGTACGCGGACGAACACAACCACACACGCTAGCTAGCTAGATAAATAAATAGATAGATAGATAGATAGATAGATAGATAGATAATAGATAGATAGATAGATAGATAGATAGATAGATAGATAGATAGATAGATAGATAGATAGATACATGCATGCATGCATGCACGCCCGCACGCCCGCATGCACGCACGCCCACACGCACGCCCGCACGCACGCCCGCACGCACGCACGCACGCATACATACATACATACATACATACATACATACATACATACATACATACATACATACATACATACATACATACATACATACATACATACATACATACATACATACATACATACATACATACATACATACATACATACATACATACATACATACATACATACATACGGACGGACGGACAGACAGACAAAGAAATAGCGAGAATGAGACGTAAAGAGAAGGAGTAGGGAGAAAAGAGGGAGGGCGAGTACGAGAGCGAAATGGAAAAACAGTCTTGGATAAAGCGTACGCGAGATAGAGAAAGAGAGAGAGAGAGAGAGAGAGAGAGAGAGAGAGAGAGAAGAGAGAGAGAG